ATTTTTTGACTGAGCGTTACACTTTCCCTCTGTTATATATAACAGCCGAAAAGTAAAAATTATCGAATACATATTTATATATTACTTAGAGGAGTCTTTTAGCGTTGGAATAAAAAGTTTCTACGTTCTATCTGTATTAGAACTCTATTTATTGAATATTTTATTCTGAGGTCATGTGATGACATCAGAATTTTCGTGCCTCTTTCAGTAACAAGTCCGCTTGGAGTTGGAATCGGTAGATTTTTACGCGACTCCACAGTCCTGGTTAATACAATCTGATATTGCGAGTAAATTTCTTAACCTTATTCGCGTCTAGCAGTTTGGTTAACAAGTCAGTTGTTATCTGTTCACTCGGACAATAGATTTCAGTAATTTCTCCTGAATTCTTTAAATCACATACAAAACGATATTTTGTGTCAATATGTTTCCTGCACTGTTGTGCTTTTCCTAATTCTAAAAGTCAATTTCAACTTTGATTGTCCTCAAATATTTTGATAGGTGTTGTAATTGGTAGATTTATTTCTTCTAGAAGTCGTTTTATCCATACAGTTTCTTGAGTAGCTTCTGCCAAGGCTATGTGCTCTGCTTCGGTGGACGAAAGTGCTACACACTGTTGCTTTTTACTAACCCAATGGATAGGACTTCCTTTTAGCAAGAGCAAATATCCTATGTTTGATTTGTGGTCTAAATGATCACCTCCCCATTCGGCATCTACATAACATTTAAGTTTTAATTCTTCATCAATATATCCTAATTTAAGTTTTTTTTTTTTTGTCAAATTCAAATAACGTAAGATTCTTTTTACTTCCATTCAATCACTTTCCAAAGTTTTTGTTACTTTTCTCACTAATATCAATGTACTTATTGCAATATCTGGACACGAGTTAGTTGCTAGATATAAAGATCCAATAGCACTTCTGTATATATTATTGTTTTTGAATGTATTAGGCATTTCATTTCTTCTTAAGTATCCTGTATCCATAAGAATCGAATAAGTTAAATTCTCGCAATTTATTCTCCATATATTTTTCTTGGTGGAGTGAAAATATTCTGTTATCATCTCTTTCAAATTGTATTTCCAGATATATTTTAAGTCACCTAAATTCTTGATTTTAAACATTTCTTTCATTTTGGTCTCAAATTTAGTTAATGTATGTTCATCTGTGGCCATTGCTATTACATCATCTACATGAATTGCTAAATACAAGCATCTCTGGTATAAAGACAGAGATCAGCCACACTTCTAAATCCTTTAGATAGCAATGTTTCGTTGAATTTTTTATTCCATTCATTCGTTCCTTGTTTCAAACCATATATATACAGTATTTCAATCATTTGCAAACCATATCTGGCGATTCTTCTTCATATCCTTCAGGTTGTTTCATGTATATCTCATATGATAAGTTTCTGTTTAAGTAAGCTGTTTCGATGTCGTAATGCTTAACTTTCATGTTCTTAATACTGGCTGTAGTTAGGAGTGTTTATAGGGTGTCAGTTTTCATCACGGGGACATATACGTCATCATAGTCAAAGCCATACTTTAGCGTGTATCCTTGAGCTTGACTAAACGAGCCTTAAAACAATTAACTTTATTGTTTTGTCTCTCTTAATTTTGTATACCCATCTGCTTCCTACTGCAGTTTTACCTGGAGATAATTTTGTAATTTTCCATGTGCTGTTATATTTTATAGCTGCTATTTTTTTATCAAGGGCTTCGCTCTATTCTTTGGAATGTTTACCTGCGATAGCCTCACTATATTCTCTCGGTTCTACTGCATCCTCCGTCACTAATAAATTTATTGTTTCAATTAACCTTATGGGAGGTACTCTCTTAGTAGTTCTTTCGGATCTCCTTAATGTATGCCAGTTTCTTCCATTTCTTGTTCTCTTGTTTTCATTTCGTATTCTTCTTTTAAATTAGTATTATTAACTATTGTAACTTGTTTCGAATTTTCATTATTATCGTGTAAATCGATTTCAGAGTCTTTGTGCTTGATGTTTTCCAGAAAGTGACCATTTCTGCTTATTAATCTAAATTATCACTTTTTTACAAATTCCAGCAAAAAATTTAATATTATAAAAACGTTTTCGATTGTCTTTAGCGATCATCATCAGTTAAAAAGAACATTAAAAATATATATATTATAATATTAAATTATTTGCTGGAATTTGTAAAAAGATGATAATTTTGATTAGTTGATTTCTAGCTTTATGAGATAACACCTCCAATTAAGCTATGATTCCTAAAATTTGTAGCACTTATGTTTTCAGAAAAAACATAACTGCTATTCATTTTATCAGTCAAAGTTTAATTTGTGAAATGTTTTCAGAACCATTCTGTGCCACTGTCAGACCTAAATATTCAAAAAATGGAAATTTAAATGAGAACAACTAGTATTTTCTATTGAATGCTTTAGGACATTCAAATTTGTGGAGTTTAAAAAAAAAAAATAGAACAGAACCTATTTTTGATTTAAGACAGCTGTGTGTAAGTTAACAGCTTTTATTTCCAACATGTAAATATCAACAAATCACATCTAAATTCAAAATTTCCAGCAAATAAAAGTCAAAAATAGGTATTTGCTGGAAATTTTGAATTTAGGTGCGATTTGCAAATATCACAGTTCCAGTTTATGATGAGGTTTTATTTATTTTGTAAATATCAAATTTGTAAACTAAAGGATTAATACAATGTCAACAGCAACAAAACAAAAATATAAAAATAAAATATCAGTAAGAATAAAAATAATATAACTATAAAATACAGTAAAACAAACTAAAAAAACAATAAAATACACTAACACTGTTGCACATCATCATCATCAGTTCTAGTCAGTCTAGATGGAAGGTAATGTTAAGATCTTACAGAGAAAAGGCTAGATTGACACTATTGACAAATTTAAAACCTTTTCTCTAAGCTCTTTAAATGTAATCACCCTCCAGGCTTTCACCAGAACTGATAAAAATGTTGTATGATAGTGTTAATTTGATGTATTTTAAGTCTATTGTTTTCAGTTTACAGTATTTTACTGTATTTTATAGTTATTTTTATATTTTTCTTTTGTTGCTGTTATCACTATATTAATCCTTTAGTTTACAAATTTGATGCTTACATGTTAAAAATAAAAATTGTTAACTTTACACAGCCATTTTGAATCAAAAGAAGTTCTGTTTTATTTTTTTTAAAAACAACAGCTAAAAGATTAGTTAAAAATGGGAACTTTTAGCTTGCAAGAAGACATAATTGAAGAATCATGTCTTTCATTCACTGAAATGTAAGGAAAATTTTATATGAACTAGAGAACCTTTATTTTTGAACATGCTTGACATAAAAATGCTGAAAATACACACACACACAATCTTTAAAAGCATCAAGGTATTTTAAATAATTTTTATTTATATAAAGAAATTACACAAAACTGTTATTGTGAAAAAATTTATTAGCTAATTAACCTTTTAATATGTTTTCAGATAAGAAAGTATAGTAGATTGTTATATTTTAAAAATTAAAATAATTCATAATATTAGGTCTAAAATTTGTAAAAATAAAAATTTGATGATATACTAAACCCATATATTTATCATACAATGTAATGATTTTATACACTAATAGATGTTAAACTACAGGCATTCATGTTATATTTTTTTTATTGACTAACCTTGCCACGTGGATAGGTGGCAAGCTGCAAGATGTGGCATAAGAATAGGGCGCCCTTCTGATAGTTCTGGCTGTGCTGTACGGTGCCCTTTCATTCTGGCACCTACTTCGCCTCCACCTGAAAATATAAAACTGATAGTACCCCATTCTTTATGCCATGTGCCACAATTTAATATGCAAAGCTTTGCATTTTATTATTTTGTTTTAATTTCTAAATACAAACAATTTCAGATAATTTATTATATTAAATAATATTTTCCATTTTTATTAAAATAAATATTGCTCTCTCTTATTAAAATGAATTTTTATCCAGAATTATTACTATTTAAATATATTATCTATAATAAAGATAAATCTGATTATGTTAATTAAATGTATCTCAAATTATCACTTAAATTAATAAAATAATATATCAACTTAATTATTTTTATAACAAAACAAAACATTAATTTTCATTATAACTAGAATTCTACCAAATAAGCTGAGCTACAATTCAGGATTTTGAAAGTCAGATCAGCTCTCAGCTGGAGTCCATAATTATAGATCACAGTTCAGCTTGGCTCCGGTCCACATTCTAAGCTTTTGCAATTTGTAGCTCACTCAGTCCCACCACTTTGAATTATTGAGACACTATTGTACAAGTTTTGCTAGAAATGATTGTTGTTATTTGTATCATTTTAATATATCACACTTTATTACTTTTAATATTTCTCTTAATTTAAAAATTGTGTATAGTTAATTGTTTAATGCTTAATTAATTTTTATTTGATTGCTTGTGCTTTAACAACAGATAAATGAAAAAATATCCAACAAACTGTATCTGTTATTATTATTCATACAATTTAATTTCAAAAATAGGCTTTGCAATAACACACCTCAGCTCAACTCAACTCTCAGCTTTGGTCCAAATTCACAGCTTGCATGTCGAGACCTTAGGTCAGCTTATTTCCAAACAATTAAGCTGAGCTGAGCTTTGCTGAACTCTTATAACTCTGAACAGCAAATTTATAATATATAACATGGATTTACTTCTGTTATGATTAAGTAATAGTCAGAGATGATTAAATATTCAGAATTTATACTTTACATAAAACAGTTTTTAGATGATGTTTATCAAGAGAGTAATCCAGTATTTGATGTTAATTAGTACACATTTTAACACAAGAAAATTGAATGTTTTCAACTTTTACAAATACTAGGTTATTCTCTAGATCACAACACAGGTTCTCAAACTTATTTCAACCATGCCCACTTTGAGATAAAAAAAAATCTAGTGCCCCCATATTTTTTAACTTACCTTTTTACATTATCATCTGTTGCATATCTTAAAAACAGTTATTGCAAATATAATGTTTAAACATGCATTATTATATGGATAGGATAGATAGGGTATGACCCATATCCTATTTCTGAGATCAAAGAATGTTTCAATGAGAGGAAATAAAACTCATACTTAGAAGTATTTTTATTAACATCAAAAGAAGGCTTTGAACTTAAAACTTATCTAATGTGAAGGATGAATCTGATGCATTTCGACGAGTTTGTTAATATCAGGCTCAAATTCACTTAAAAACAGCCATAAGTTGCCGCGTTCATTAACTTGCAGCCGATTTCTGTGTTTAGCAAACGTTGCTACAGCACTAAATCCACGTTTACACAAATATGACAATGGGAATGCTATCAGAAATCGTTGAACAACCTACCATAACGACCCAGGGTACAGTTGAAAGATTTGCTTCTGCAGCCAAAATTCTTGGTAACCATTCTTGAATTTAATTTTTAATTCTTCATTTGTTGTCACTTCTATAAGTTGTTCTTCTAACTGGGATGATCCTGCTGTGTTGACATTTGAAAAAAAGATCCAACACCCAGTCTGGTATATCCATGTTTAAAATGTCCTGGAATCATTCCTTAAAATCATCATGGAGGTTCTCCAAGTGCTGACAGTAAATGAGCAAGTCATCGTTACTGAAGGATACTGCTGATAAATTGCATAAGTTATTAAATTCATGTCTGCCAATATTCCTTTTGTATAGTAGCAGTTTGGCTACGAAAGCAGCAATGATATTTCTTGTTTTAATTAAGTTTAAGTTGTTGTCTTGAAGCTGGAGATTGAGAAGATGCCGCTGCCTTAGATTTTTCTTTTACTCCATCTGTCTTCCATTTATGTAATCTAAATGATTTATTGCCTGGGTCTCCTTCAGTACTCATATGAAAAGAATATTCATCTATGTGTGTGTTATCTATGTCAGAAATACCTAGTTTTTTTTGCTATTTCTTCAAGTTCATCATCGTTATAACAATATCTATTTCCTAAATCACTTGTAATCTGATAATTTGTAAAAACTCTAAGGGCTAATTGTTTTCTTCCATCTTTTTCAAGAGAAAAACATAGTTTTACAACATTAGCTTCACCTTTTACTTTCCTACTGCCTTGCACATATTCAACATCTTCCTTAGTATGCTTAACATATACCTTATTGATACCAAGTTTTTCCACTAGTCCACTATCAGGTAAAGTTAGAACCGAACCTAATATGCCATGAATAGAGAATTCTGGATCAGCAGTCGATCCTAGGAGTCTCATACAACGATAAACCAAACTTTTCAGCAAATCCTACTGGTCTTCCTGCATCACTTGACTTGACTGGATTATCCAGGCATGGCCAACATACGGCCCGCGATTAATCCTTTAATATTAGCTACTCAAGTCAGAATAGATCAGTGAAAAATTCTAACGCCTAAGAAAAAAAAAAGGCCAACAACTCGCTGTCCAGTTAGAGTTAACCCTCCATTACAAATTTCTTAAGTACAGCGTAGAATGTTGATAAAGCATAATAATGTGAAAAATGCATCTGTAATCTCTATGTACAATTTAGTCTCTTTGGGGTGACACCACAATGAGATCTCGCACCACCTCAAAATCTTCTTAGGGCATCCTCTGGTTTAACCCGTGAAAAAAGTTTTCTTTTCAATTTGGCCCAGGGGCAAAAACTGTTGGCCATCCCTGGGATTACCATTAACATTATTTGGATAATTGGTTCTGTGAGCAATAACTCTATTAATTTTGTCTTATGTTCAATGTTTTTTGTTTTAGCTGTTGCTTTTGGCATTTTTTCACATTTTTTCATATTATGTGCTACTTCTTTAAATTCTATACTACAAAGCCTCTTAGCTGGACTACTGTCACCTTCTTCTATACTTCTCTATCATCTTTTTGAATAAGATCATCTAATAATTGAAAACACTTGTCCCATATATAATTTTTTTCTGCATATTCTTTTGAATGGTTGCATGTTATACGTTCTTTGAATTCTTCCTTAAACTTAATCATTGCATTTTTGGATGAGATGCATTTACCAATAAAGAACTTAAGTAAATCTTATTGCTATAAATTAGGCTTTCACAAGTATTTTTCCTTTATCATAAGAGATAATTCTTTCTCTCTCTACAAGAGTTGCATCTTTCAAGATCAACTGATATTCTCTCTATCTTCAACCTTAAATAAGTCTGATAACAATAATCCACCTGATGTGCACCAATCTATTCTATACTTTTTATAAGAACCAGGACTTTGCTGCCAAAATTCCCCAAAAAGCTTTTGATAGTTATAATCTTCCTACCCAGCTAAGACTTTATTATTAATAATATCCCACAACAAACAATCATAATCCTCCTCAGAAAGAAAACTCCATATACGATTTGCTGTTCCTATAAAGAAGCTTTGCCATGGCCAATCCAAAAAACATTTTAACACTTCATAAGGATAGCTTTTAAATACTTCTATTTGTTGCTCTTCATTCATTTGTGAGAGTAAAAAACATAAAACATCAGCATAGTGTTCTTTAGGAAAGTCAGTAAGATTGTGAGCAGTCACGTCTATTTGCTACGTATCCTGCATACCTTACCAAGGACTCTTTTCTTTCCCTAGAAGTTAATTTTTGCAAAAAATACTCAGTTGCCGCTTTCTTGCCACTAACTGCTGAATATTCAAATGCAAACAGGTAAGGAGATATTTCTTTTCCTTTGAGTTTTTTAATCAAACCATTTAATTTAGCTACTTCTCCTTTTATATCATAAGTCCAGAACACTACCAGCCTATGCTCTTGAGAAAACTTGGATGTTCATCATTATAAAAAGCTTTCTTTCTTTCTTTCAGGCATTGAACCCCATAATTCTCTTACATCACCCTCTAAGCAGTAAATACATGCCAATCTGTAGTGTCTGGTAATATCTAAACTCTCATCCTTAATTAATGCTTCTGCTGTTTTCTTTTTATCTACTGTCCCTTGTGGTGTCAAGAAAAGCCTACTTTTTTTTAAGCCTACTTTTTTTTAACATAGCTTCCAGTCAAAAAATTTTGATGATATTCCATCCATTTTAATATTTGTAAGCCTACTGGCTTAATAAAACCCAATATTTCCTTTTTTAAAGGTTCTGGTTGTGAAAGCTGTGGTACTTTTTCTATTATTTTGTCTTCTATCTCTTGCCATTTTTCTCTTCTTTCGCTGCCAAGTAATGGAAAATAGAATTTTGCTATTAAAGCACTAATGTCATCTTGATTCCACAATGTAGTAGCTATCTTAACTAGAGCTATATACTTAAACGATGGTGTTAAAGTGTAATTCATTATTTACCATGGGTTTCCAGAATGCGGTTAAACGGCAACTAAAAAATAAAATTAATAAGTAGTAACAAAATTAGTTGTTAATTAAACATTAAAGAAAACATTCTTCCAATTACAATAAAATAACATTATAATTTGACTAACTTAAAACCAGGAAAAGAGTTTTTGTTCACAGCACAATAAACAACAGATTATTGACATTAGTAGTAGAAGTTAGTGTGAGGTACACCATCTACACTACCTTAAAAATAACACTTTTCTTTGAAATTTCATACAAAGGATGTTAATTGGAACATAAGTCGAGATAATATACCACCAGTTTCTGAAATTTAATGTGCTTATTTTTGTGTTTTTAAATCAAATTGCAATAAAATAAACATAAAGAAAGCACTTTCGTCATCCCACAAGTATTTTACATGGTTAGAAAGAAAACAAAATGAAAAAATTCAATATATAATTGTAGTTTTTGATGTAATGCTGACAGTTTCAGA